ACATTCTGTAAAGAATATATCAGTACCCTTTCGTTCGTCGCCCCCGGGCGGGTGGGGAGCGAGGACAGAGCCGCTCCGTGGAAGCGAGGAAGCCGCGCCCATCCCCCGCCGCGCTGTGCTAATCCTACAGCAGCGCTTGCTGCGCCGCACGGACCGAGAAACCCGAGCCGCTCTGCCAACACCCCGCCAGGCCACCCCCCCCAGCCCCTCCACTACCGGAGTTGGAGTGGAGGGAGGCGTACTCCGGCGGCACCGCGGGGAGAGCACATAGGCAATCCTTAAAACAAACGTAGGAAAAGTTAAAGGCATAAAACACTCAGAAGGTAAACTTTTCTCCCAGAAACCCACGGGGCGGGACCATGGAGAAAAGTCTCTGTTACAGCGTTTTTCGTCTGACTTTCTCTCAGCTTTGGAACCACGTTGTTCTACGCAAAGCGGTATGAGCAGAGATAGTCCGAGGCTTCAGAAGTCCAGACGGGCTGGCACGGGGGGCACGGTACATGCCGGGAGGCGAGGTGGGGCGCTCTGCTGCTGCTGCTTGCTGCTGCGCTGCTGGAAGTAGAGTTTGCGGACCCCTTTTTGGCTTCCCAGATCTGCATCCACAGGCAGTTCGAGGGCCCGAGCTGCTCTGGCTGGAACCAGGCTATGGGGGGATTCATCAAACGGGGACCCATCCTGGCTGATCTGCTCTCGCGTCACCATCCCCAGATGGCCAGAGCTGTAACACTTTAAAGCTTTCTGATAAGCAAGTCCCAGTCGCTGCTTACGTCCAATTCAGAGAGGACGAGTTTGTTCCTCTGCAGGACTTCGGTTTCCCTTTGTGGAAAACCTTTATCTCAACAGCTGGCGAGTCCAATATGTAAGCTCAGTGGCTTATCATGGGAGTGTAAGCTCTAGCTTCGTTGAGATTTGCCGTTCCAGACACGCTCACCAGCTGGGCCCTCTACCCGGGGTCACTCAGACCTGTAGCTCTCCAGGAGCACACAGGAAAAAACTCCTTACTTATCATAGAAGGAGGAGGGAGACTCCAATGTCCTTCAGCTCGTGGCTGCAAGGTACGGTGGGGATCTACCAGATGTAGATCCCTATTTTAGAGCTATTTTAGGAACAGCAAAGCATGACACGGACTCTCTGGCTGGGTTGCACAAGAGAGCAAGGTTTATTATCCCAGATCTTCTTTTGTAGAGAGGTCCAAGAGGTAAAACTCATTGGTCATTGAACCATCGCTATTATTGGACAATTAGGAACTACACCCCTTGACTGTTTCTTGCAAGCAAACAAGAAGGATCCAAACAACACCTGCAAAGGTTGTTGTCCTTCTCCAAGGACTGTTTGGATTCCTTATCATTTCTTAGGCCAGAGCGAGAACCTTGTGTGACTTGGTTTCACACAGGCTCTGTGCTCTCTGCCTGCTTTCATGCATTCAGCATCCATAGGCAAGTGCAAAGGATGTTAAGGAAGTAGAAGAGTTTCATGTGCTTTTTTCCTCCCTTTTTCATCTGTCTTACTTAAAAGATCAACAGCAGCCAGAGAGTGCAATTATTTAGGGGACAAAATTTCAGCCTAAAATATGCAAAACTTGCTTAGAGAATAACATACCACATTACATGTCTTCCAGTTCCCTGAGCAATTTCACTCCAGAAGTCTTAAAGGCAAGTTGAAGTACTAGCTAGAGATGTCACAAAGCTTGAATTTATTTTATATAATTTTTTGCAAGGCCTTTAGTGGTATTTCCCATAATATCCTTATTATAAAGGACATTGACGTGACAAAATAGAAGGGACAATTTATATTCATGAAAGCAAATTTTATTAATTCAGCAAACAGTAAGCAAGCAAAAAAACAGCTGGGGCGGGCCAGGGGACGCTTCCTCTCAGTGTCCCGTACATAGCGCACACTTTGGCTGAGGAGGTTCCCTTTTTTATACAGTTCCTGCATCTGTGTCTCCTGGATTGCATCAGCGCCTGTGCCTCCTGTTGCTAGGGGGTCTTCTTCTGCTTCTTGGTGGTCATGATTGGGCATTGGTCTTATGACAATTAGACAATCCTCCCTAATAAGGAGATGTTCTAATTCTTGTTTGTGCAGCCGGATACCATCCTGCAGCTTCAGCTCTGCAGTTTCAGCTTCTTACTTTTACAGCCGGATATCGTGGTTATTGTGCTTAGGCATTCCTACAGTGTTAGTTCTTAAAACAGCTTCAGCAATCATTTTGTTTTAACAATTATATTAAATTTGATTAACAAACAATAGCAATCTATTGCAATCTTCATGGAAATGCTACTGAGCTGTTTTCTAAATGAAACTACTGTGGGAAGGGGCTGGAGGTCAAGTCTAGTTGCAAAATTGTATCCACAGGATAATTCCATCCTAATATATATAAATGTGTATGTTTTTTAAGGAGTTCTGTGGACCTTGGTCTTGTATGAGGTTTTATATTTTCACTGAAGGCACAGAAGGTTGAATATGAAGTGTGAGTATGAATCTTGCAGATGGAACAAGGAAGGACTGCAGATGTTATAGATACTAAGAAAAACCAGAATCTAAAATGTTCTTGATATGACTTAGAGAGATCATCTAAAATGGATGGAATACAATAGTGCAAAATGCTTCTGCAGAAATACTCATCTGTTCTTGCAAAACTGTCTAGGTTCACAAGAGAAAATACCTATGGGACTATGTTGGAACAAGCTGAGCATGCAGGGCAAAGCCCACACATCAGGATGTTTAAACAGTCTTAAAGACTACTGAAAGAGCCTGTGTGGGCTGATTCCTGTATGTAAAGATTCACCTGGAAGACCACAACCTGTTTAGTGTACTGTACTTCAAGTAACAGACGAAATAGTCAGCAAGGGAGAGCAGCAAAATTTGTCAGGGGTAAAGAAAACATGAGGGAAGACTGCAAGAAATGTAGCTTTTTTTCTCTGAAGGAAAAACAGAAACAGAAGGTTAATCAACTAAAAAGCTGTTGCAAAGAATAAGGAACTAATATGTTCCTGATGGAAAGATCAGGAAGAATAAACCATTAAGATAAACCATAAACCAAATAATTTAATAAGCCATAAACCAAACAACTTGGGAGATTTAGATTAGACATTGTGCAAAACTTCTGTATCAGTGATACTGCAGCTTGGAGTGACATGACTACAACTTGATAGTAGAATAGAAAGGGGGAGTAGAATAGAAAGGTGGACTTTTCCAGATTTCCTCCAGTGAAAGCCTATCTCTGAGTGAGTCAATGACTCTCAGTATCTGTGTGGACTTGATTTGGGAGAAGTCACTTAGGATGGGATCCATAACTGAGAGCTGAATACAGGACCTGAACAGAGGGAGCCTATGCTCAGCTCCAGGTCTCAGAGGAATCTTCCCCAAGATCACACAGACTGTCTGTCTAGGTTCTAGAAGACAGGTGTCTGCTTGGGAGGGCAGGAGCCTCCCTTGGGATGAAAGAATTTAGACCCCCTCCCTCCGAATTATTATAATTTAGAAATCAAGGGGCTCTCAGGCAGAGATCTGGGGATAGGAATAACAGCTCTTTACTAGTATAACCAGGCAAGCAAACAACAATAACTACAGCATTAGCAAGAAAACAGAACCAGGGACCCCGTGACAGCCTTCTCGGCTGAGATGGGATGGAGGAGAGGCTTTGTTTCACAAACCCCCTCGGGCGGGCAGTCTCGGTGCTCCTTCATGGCTCCGAGGAACACTTAGCTGGAACAGCAGGGATGAGCTGAGATCCTGGGCTGATGGATGAGGTGTATCCGCAGCGGTGCTTGGCACTGCCACACGTCCCGGCAGGACAGGGGGTGCGAGGCCACCAACAAAGAGGGAAGAAGGAGAAGAAGCAGCAGCTTCGTCTGGGTGATGGCGAAATTCCCTTCTCTCTACCGCAGCAGCTCCGCGCCCCCCCAAAAAAAGAATGTTTCTCCCCGAAGCCGAAGAAAGCCAGTCAAAAACTGTCCCCACCCTCCTTTCCTGCCCCCTTCCCCCCCACTGGGCCCGGCCACTCTTTGTCCTTTGTCGAGCACCCACTAAGTACCCACAGTTAGGTTGTCCCCGCAACTAATGGGTAAAAATTCCACGGGCAAGCCAGAACAAAAAAAGGACACCTAACCCCCAACACTGTCCCACTCTCTCTCTCTGCTGTAAGGCCTTCCTCTCTCTTTATCATCTCTGCAGACTATCATGGAGCCAGCCATACTCCAGATTTCAACTAATCCGTCTAGATACCAGTTTTGCATCTCTTCTTCTTACCATCATAACCTATTTTCCTTTTTGAAAAGTTTCTCCTGTAAACTTGCTCAATACTTCTGCCTTCCCAGTCAGGCCATTGTTCAGTCCCAGAAGACAATGGCCAGTGAGACAATCCTGCTGCACTCAGTTCCTGAGTTGTATGGCAGAGTAGTCTGCAACCAGCAGCCTCCTGCTCAGTCCTGTCAGGGTATGATCACTATCACTAGCATCTAGGTGAAAAAACCCTCGTTTCTACTGAGCACATTCAAAATGTGACTGTCAAGAGCCGGAAGCGAACACTTTGCTGTTGGGTTTAAAGCAAGATAAGCACCCTGACCTGCTCCAGCACAGGCGGCTATCCCAGCCGCGCGGACCATATTCCACAGCATCAATGTGATGGATGGCAAATATGGCGATTTATTGCAGGGAAACTTAGCATTTTATAGCCTAGGCTCACTGTGTTACTCCCATCTACATATGTCACACCTGGGTGCTATTGGCTAATTGCAAGAGAACTTACTATCCTGACAGAGAGGGGGTCTGCTAACTTTCCGTTACATCCCGAATTCTTCCGCAGCACCAGGCCCTAACTACAATATATTCCCCCCTCTTTATGAATAATTAATTTGCTAAAATATAAAAATATTAAAAATGGATAATATAAAATTGAATAAAATATAAGATACATTATACTTAACTAAAGGCTAAAAACTTACAAAATAGATACTACAATTTTCATTGGTAAATATAAAACACATGCAATAACTAAGTATACTTTAAAGCATTTGTTGCCTTTCTATAAACAAAATGTTAACTTTTTCTAATCGGTTCTTAACAAAGGACACAAGCTTATTTAGAATACATGGTCCAAAAATTAACACAAGTAAAGTCATCACAACTGGTCTAATCAGGGTAAACACCAGGGTGGTCAGCCACGGAGCTTGATCGAACCAGGATTGGAACCAGTTTTGCTGAGCTTCTCTTTCTGCTTTTTGCTGAGACAGCCTGTCTCATAGCTCTGCCATGGTGTCTCTCACTACTCCGGTGTGGTCAGCATAGAAGCAGCACTCCTCTTTCAGGGCGATGCAGAGGCCTCCTTGCTGCATGAATAGAAGATCGAGACTTTACTTGTTCTGCAAAACAACTTCAGAGAGTGAGGAGACTGATTTTTCTAGAAAGGATATGGATTTCTCAATTCTCTGTAGATCTTCATCTACAGTCATGTGTAGCTAAAACAGTCTCTGTTGTTGGGTCACGATGGCAGAGACACCTGTGGCAGTACCAGTTGCTCTCAGGTTAAGCAGCATTGCTATGGTTACATCTGTCACCACTTCTCTTTTCTGAAGTTGGGTGAGTCTCTCCACTTGCAGGCTCAGCTCTTCATCCAGGTGGTATAGGACTCTGGGGATGATAACAGCTAATACACAAAAGTCAGCAGAGGAGTTAAAGCTTGGGTATAAATGCAAGGGCTAGACTATTAGATCATGGGTTTTTCAGCTTCTACCACAAGGTTGGGGCTCACCGCTTCAGGTGTTATAACTATAAACAACACAATTACTATAAGCAGCTTACCATGTAAATGACACCATACTTGCAAACTCACAGCTAAAACTTTAACATTGAATGAACTTTTAAAGATGCTTATACTACCTCTTAAAAGAAAAATACTTATATTTTATACTAACATAACAATTATTACACAGACTAAACATTTTACCTTAAACTATTATTTAACTACTTTTAACACACGTGCTCTGGTATATATGTAATCTAAACGTGAAAGCAATTTGCTAAAAGAATAAACACACAATTACAATTTGATTTGTATATACACTACACTTCCCAAATCTTCTACAGAATTTCTCCAACATGATTCAGTCCTGGAATGTTCACTGCTCCCGTGATGTCAGCTGGCAGCTGATTGGTGACTGAGGGCTTTGATGTTCAAGTTGTTCTTCAAACCCTTCTAAATCTTAAAACAAAGGATAACTGAGAAATTGATAGAGACACAACATCATAATAACAACATAAAATTTCTGTTGGCAACTGTCTGTATAGTGTTTGGACACAACTGTGTCCTGACAGGTCCACTTCTGATCCATGTCTGGAGTACCAAGGCTGTGTGATGACCTCTCTGCTCACTGGATCTCATGTGTTTAGAGGCAGACAGTCTGGTCAGATGGACAGGTGACCCTTCTGAACCTGCCAACAAAACACAGGCACTTCTCTCCTTGAAGTTAATGAATTACACTAATCAAATTGCTTTTAGGGTATCAATTTCCCCCGTTTTCCTTAAAAAAATAAAAATGAGATGTATTTCTGTTCAACATTAACACAAAACTTTATACATAATTAGTAAAAACTTATAACAGTTAAAAATCAATTAATATAAAAGTACTGTTAATTATTAAAACACTGCACCAGCATCTCATAGTTAATAAACAAACAAAACCAAAAATTATCAGTGAAGGATTGGACAATCATTTCCGGAAATGATTTTCCAAGCTCACTTTAAAATTGATCCAGCTGTCATATTAATAGGGTCAAATTGTTGAGTTAAAAAGCGACTCAAATACTGATTTGGTACAAAAACATCTGGATCTGTTGGCAAACATTCCGTCCAGATAAAGTCAAGGCTTGGCCAGGGCCTTAGACTTTAAACTAGAAAGATGCCTCTTAACTTATTTTTAAAACAAGGTTTTCAATAGCAACAGCTATGAGATGCTTACAGCACAGTAAACTGTTAAAATGCATTTGTACAAAGCAAATAATTAAAAACCTTAGGTACCAGACTAATTAAATCATTCAGCAGTTGGTTTAATTTGAAGCTTCTTCAATGGCAGTTGATCCTTACCAATGGTACATCTTATTAAAATTCTGGGAACACTGAAAAATAAGAAAGTTATAGCAAACAAAACTGCAGGAATTGCAACAACTCAATAGAACTCTTAATAAAGTCCAGGGTGTCACAGACTGTATTCATTTCTGTCCACAAGCAGGTGTTCACAGTTGTTTCAGTTGTAGCTGTCTTCATGTCTCTAGGAAAATAACTATATTTTGCAATTTAAACAAGTGTTTCCAATAAAACATAAAACAATTTAAATTAAACAGCATTTAAACTTAACAATAATTATTTATAACAGAAGGAAGTAACAAAAGTTAACTTTAAGAGAATATCCAAGTTATACAGCTTAACTAAAAAACATTTAAGTCAACAGTAACATGGATTCACTATAAAAATTATAAAAATGTAACAAATACATCACAATTCTATGTTATCTAGCTTTGAAAATAACTCACAATAACTGCAAATGTTACTAAAAACACTCATTCACAACAAGAATTTGCCTAGTATATGCTCAAATTAGCTAAAATTTTAAAGTGCAGCTTCTCTAAAAAAAAAAGGCCACAACAACACAGAATTGGGCAAGTTGTCATTTAGCTTTTGTAGCACTTTTCAGAAACATCAAGTTCAATTTTTAGACTAAAATCTAAAATTCAAATTGATATATATGCAGTTATATGTGTTTCATATAACAAAAAAATTCACATTAAAATTTCTCCATTAAAATTGTCAAAAACCCAGCAAATGGGCAATATATGGTTAACATAATTTTGCAATTACTAAAACAAAACAAAAATCTTTTAAGTTTCTTGGGATACAGAAATACAACATTTAAACTTTTTAATCTATTTTTAAAGGCACTTCATTCAATAAAAACTTATTTTTAAATCTCAATCTTGATTATAACACTTTGCTAATTTACAAACAATACAATTTATAAAGCTTTTAATTTTTGAATTGTCTAATTAAAACTATCTCTTTTTTATCCCTCTCCAAAATATCCAGCTTTTTGTTGTTTTTATTGTTTCATTGCCTTGCTTTCTGCGGTTTATTGAAGTCACTGTTACTTGTTTCACCGGTGGTTGCCACGGCAACAGCATTCTGCCATGTGTGTTTTCTAAACTCTCTGCGCCAGGCTACTTTTTAAATCTGAGAAAAACTCTGAAAACTCCAACTGCATAAACTCATAATTACTTAAAACACAAAATTAACTCTAAAAGGGTACATAAACACCTTTTAAAAACTCAGTAAATTATGACTTTGTAACAAACTCGGTATTATCCCAGCGCTTCTTCCCAGAGAGGGAGTTGGGGGGGTGGGGGGTGAACTGCTTGTGTCTCGGCCAAAGTCAGAACTGGCTGGTTACTTCCTGTTTTCTGTGCGTTTTTCTTGGGCCCCGGCCCTGCCGACCACCTCTGTGGGCAGGCTGTTCCCTCCCCCCTGGTTCCACTCCGCCTCCACCTACTGCTCCCCCCTCTCTCCTCTCCTGCATTCCAATCTCTGTGCCTCTGTTCCCATTCGCCGCGTCTTATCTCTTTTACTTCACTTCTTCACATTCCTTTTCTCTCCCATCCCCCCGACTGTGCCCACCTTCCAAGGCCAGCTTTAGTTCTTTGTTAGACATATTTTTCCCGTGCTACAACTTCTTTCTCTGCGCCATCTTTATGTCTTTGGGGTGATGCTTTCTTCTTATTTTTTCTGCCACACCTCTGGCTATTTCTGTTAACTTTTTCCAAAAATCTTCTGCTCTTCGCTGTTTCTCTGAGAGCAGATAAGAATTTAGGGAATGAGGGGACTCCCGACCCCCCTTCAGCTCTGCTGAGCTGCTGCCGTCTGGGAGCTGTAAAGCTCTGACCCTAAATTTCAGGGTAGCCAGCAAACAGTTCCTTGTCGTTTCCCAAATTTGTTTAGCAAGGATTTTAGCACATCTGTCCCGCACCTTAGGGTGGATAAACTTTACAAACTCATTTACGACTTCAACAACCTAAATTCTTGCATTAACAAGCAAATAAGGTTTACAACTTAATTACAATCTAACCTTTTTGATGATTCCATCATCCTTCTGGGCCCAGGATTTCCATGCCAAGAATAGTCCAGCTCTCTTGGCCGCTGTCCACTGAATCAGGGTATCCTTGCTTTTTTAATTTCTTCTCACGCTTCTTCCCGCTTTTTTTTTCTCCCGGATTTCGTGCACCAGATGTTGGGTTTAAAGCAAGATAAGCACCCTGACCTGCTCCAGCACAGGCGGTTATCCCAGCCGCGCGGACCATATTCCACAGCATCAATGTGATGGATGGCAAATATGGCGATTTATTGTAGGGAAACTTAGCATTTTATAGCCTAGGCTCACTGTGTTACTCCCATCTACATACGTCACACCTGGGTGCTATTGGCTAATTGCAAGAGAACTTACTATCTTGACAGAGAGGGGGTCTGCTAACTTTCCGTTACATCCCGAATTCTTCCGCAGCGCCAGGCCCTAACTACAACACTTTGCCTGCAAGACAATGCTTCATTTAGGATTCATAGGATTCAAGTACTAGCTCCAGAGCACTGAGAAAAAACCCTAAAACCTCCAAAACAAAACAGATAAGTCTTGTCTCTGTAATCAAGACTGATAAGTCTTTAAAATGACAAAGTTAATTCCTAGACCTATTTTCAGCAAATAGTCAAGTATTTTTCTTGACACTGAGAATATAGTATAAAAACATCCATACAGAGTCAAAACCAAGGTCCATCTAGCCCTAGAGCTTGCTTCAAGTAGTGGTAAATAACAGATGCTGATGGAATAATAAATAGAGAAATAATGATGTCATACTTCAAGGCTCCAGCAATTTGTAGATCAGGGACTTGTCTTCAACAGTGAAACCAACTGAGGTCTGGAGCTCAGAACGATCAAGGCTTAAATGTCCAAGTTTGGGAACATTATTAATCAAACCCAAGGTCTTATGGAAGATGTGCCATGTCCCATTGTCAATGGTATGTGCTAGGCAGACTTTACTGTTCACACTGCTCTGCTGTAACTTTCAGTGCAAGCTAAGGGAATCATCCAGGGAGACCACACTAGTGCAGTGGTACAGCATCTGTATTGTTTGCAGGTGTCACATTCTTCTTAAAGTGAGGGATCCTGAAAATAGTCTTATGAATGTTTGCCCATGGTTTTGATCATACTTCAGGAACCATATTAAAAAATTTCCCAATTATGAGAAAGTTTTAAGCACATATTTTGTAATAAATTCTCTTTAAAAATAGAATATTATGACTCAGAACTTACTTTGTCATAAAACCACAGGTAAGCCCCAAAACAGTTTTGCTGAAAAATAATATTGGCTTAAGTCTCATTATACTTTGCTTGTAGCCATATTGGCACAAAACATTGGAGGTATGATTTTTTTGGCCCAGTAAAAAGCACTGAGACAAATAGACTGAACTTTGAATTCTGTTCCCTTTGAAAAAAGCCTCCAGAGAATGTGCAGAAGGGACTGTAAAGCCATGCTGTCAATTTCAGCATGGATTGCAGCAGGAATCAGGAAACATACAGGTGAGGATTTTAGACAGCAGACAGGATTAGTCTCAGATAAGGAATATGCCTGTTCAGGATATATGCAGAGTTGTTTAGAAACCTTACATAAAGACCACCATAAATTTATAAGGACATTGGTACTGAATAGTTGAATTAAGATCTCCAAAGAGCACATAACCTATTGAGGCAGGGACCACTTTCAGTAACCAAATAATTCTGTCACCAGACAGCCTAAAACTACTCAAAGACACCATTCTTAGCCAAGACCAACAGATTTGAAATATTGTTTGAATCTCTAGGCCAATGAATTTTTGGGATGTGACATGCCAAAAAGTCTTTAGGAAGCTCTCCAAGCAGATGATCTAGTTTTTTTTAGCCATCATCTCTCTTAAACACTTTGAGCAGTTTCATTCAGCTCTTCCAAAAATCTGTCCCAGAATAAGATTATGCCTGTGAAGTTGTACGTGGATAGGGCTAATTTTGGCAAAAGGAGGAATAAGAATAAAGTCAAGTTTATAATGAAAACTTAAAGACATTTGCAGCTTGCAAATTCAGTGGTATCGATATAATACATGATCTTTCCATTGCAGCAAAAATATGAAGTGCTTTTATTGTCACAATAAAAGGGAAAAGACCATTTACTTTGTATGAAGTCCTACCTAGGAGACAAAAAGACCTATCAGGTCATGCAAGTGTTTTTGTTTCTGCCCATTAAAATGTTTATAGGATCCAGATTAATTTCCTAGAGTCTCAGCTTGAGGAATAGGATCCAGATTAATTTCCTAGAGTCTCAGCTTGAGGATCTGTGCAGTGTACTACCTCATGCTGGCAGTACAGAATGATGACAATTTCTGACTGCAGATGTGCCTTTTCCACAGACCTTACTAAAACTGCAGCATGGCATTGACATGCCAAACTAAAGCATTAAATTAGCCAGCCAAGGTACTGCAACACCATGGCACTGCCATTACAGACCATAGCATGCTGCCAAACCCACTCTAAAAGCAAAGGTCCTTCAATGGCCAGCTGCTGTTGGCAGGCCACCCTGAACAGTCTTCCTGGGATAATGGACCCAAGCTATCTAGTTTACTGGGAGTTCAGGTTTGTCAGAACTTTAAATCATATGATGGTCCAGTAGTGCAGGTAGTAAAATGAAAATATTCTGTGTGGCTATAAAGTCTGCCTCTAGATAGTTCCTAGGCAACAGCTCCTACAATTCAAATTACCTAGTTTGGGAAAACATTGTGCACACAGTTTTTACTGAAATCTGGAAATTTTCTGGTTTATGTGATGGTTAAGGAAAAACTCCCCTTGGGGAGCTTTCATTGGCCTTTTCAGATTCCTGTGGCAGGTAGAGGTCCTTTCTAGATCCTTGTAAAGCTCACTTAATAAAAGTCTCCGTAGGGAATGGGAAAGGATTATATAGTCTGTAGGCCAAACAGCATATTTCTACCTAATATGCAATTGAGTTGTCATGGTCAGATACTACTAACAGAAATACACATAATTCTCAAAGATACTTTAGATCCTCTAACGCCACCCCACCCCTGACCCACACCCATACCACTTATTTCCAGTCACCAACTGTCCTCCCAACACAACTGTCTCATCTAGGGACTGTTCAGCTTGAAAGCTCTTCCTGTTGACCTCTGCAGTACTGTTTGGAAATGCAGAGGAAAAAGTACCAACATTGATTCAGCAGGCCAAATAAAAGTAATTCTAAAAGCTGCCAAGCTAATTAATGTCTAGGAGCTAGCAACTTCGGCCTGGTACTCAGAGGAGCATGGAAAAGTGAAAATCTGTTCCGAATCCTTTATGACAGGGATTGCTGGTCAGAAATACAACAACTGGACAGCAGTAAAGAAGGAAAAGGTTGAGCAGAGGGGAGTTATAAAGCCATGACACATAAACAATCCCAAGATGTGCTCTAACTTAAACCATTAGATGTGCTCCCTGGTAGTGTAATCTCAGCCTGCTTAAAACAACTTCTGTCAAAAACATGGGTACAATATGGAACTAAGTATGTCAGTAGACAAAGTACAGCCTCAAAAGACATTGCAAAAGGTTAAAAGAGTAAACAATATCTAGAAAGTTGACAGCCTTTTACATGGAGCTTCTTGCATTCGGACTGTTTAGCAGCAACTCCAACTTCAGCCTGAACACAAACCACTGGGGAGCATATGGGAGCAAACTCCAAATGGTTTTCTTTCTCCCTCAAGAGAGGAGAAATGTAGAGTTACTCCCTAAAAATTTGTGTTAAAGAGACTTTTCAGTGATACATGAGCTTGGCAATGCTATGGCTATTTATCTAGTCCCCTCCACATATGAACTTTCAGTTTCTGGTGACATGTGGCATGGGAAAATCCCGCTCAAGCAGCTAAAGTCTGGTGACATTATAAACAATCAGAAACAAAGTCTTCTAATAGAGACTGTTAGACAGCATTAGCTATTGGGCCACTGTCATTTCAACAGCCAGAGGGTGCTTTAATCTGTCAGTTATGTGAGCACTAGGAGTGATGAATAGATCTTTGTATTCATTCACATCAAGTATGTACCCAGATTGGCATATAATGTGACGGTTCTTTTGTCTCATAGTCAACTGGATCTCTAAAGAGCTAGGAATTTGCACAAAACAGCAAAGCAATGCCATGAAAGATATCACCCATGTTCAGAAAGAGGGATTCCTGGAGGTGGCTGACTAGTGACCCTCCGCAACTTATCTTGACCATCGTTACCTACACAACTTGAAAGTCACATGTCAAAAAAGTAGTCCAGTTTTTCACCTCCGTTTTAGCCATCCCAGATGACCACATTTAAAATCAAGGTGGCATAGGGGCACAAGTGCAGCTTGTCCAAAACTGCCACCAGCTGGTAAGACAGCAGCCACAGGACTCCTCTGCAGAGCCAAGCCTCTTAGCCCCTGCCAGCAGCCCAGAGTTTTAGGGTGACCACTCTCCTAGAGCACTCAGCTGTGCTGTCAGCACAAGGAGCAGAGCAGGGGCCTGGGGCTGCCCAAGCCAAGCTATTCCTTTGCAGAATGATTTCTCCAGACTTTATTGGTGAGAGCAATTTTCTCACTCCTTTCTTTTGCTGCAGCAGCACAAAAAGACAGGAACTGGGCTAACAACTCATATAATGTTTTTACCTGACATAAATGAGAGCAGAGTATGCTCTATCACAAGCCCTTATAAATAAAGCTGGTCACAGCTCTGCCAGTTGGACATAGCAGTACACTCTGCTCCAGGAGCTTCTTGGGCTGGAAAATGGAACAGGACCACAGGGGAACAAGAATGAGTTGTGCCTTGTGATCAAGGTAATTTATTAGCTTGGCTTTATAATTCTTGGGAAGCCAGTGGCAGCTAGTCCTAAGCCAAATTCCTGCATTGCCATAGAAAAAAATGTTAATGCATACAAATTCCAGTAAAATTAAATGATTATAAATCTTCCAAAGATATTTCCAAATTCCCTCTAAAAACTCTCTGAAAAGTTTCAGTTTGATACAGATTATTACATACCACCTCACAACCTTTCCTCCCAGGAAAAAAAGCTTCTGAACTTCCCTCTGTTGTAACTGGAGTGAAAAATTTGAATCTATCACTGGCCACACTTCAACACATCCCATTACATTTTGGCATCATACACAAAAATTATTTCTACCATTCAGATGAATGTGACCTATCTATTTTTCTCTTATTCTTGTGATCAGTTGTTTCTTAGGACCTTATCCCAGTATGGACAAAGTGCTTAGACTCTGTTAGCTCAGTCAGACCATAAACAAGATGAATAATGCCTTCCCTCTCTTCACTTTCTGAGCTGCCCTTAAACGTACCTCTTCAGAGTGAGGTGATC